AATCAGCAAATACCTATTGATCGTCAGTAAAATAGTTCTTTTACTGATTCAAACAAAGATATTTTTACTGATTCAGTTTAAAAGGGTACAATGTACCTAAATAGGCAAATCTAAGTAAATTGGCAGCAACTTCACTAATCGATTTGACAAGGTTACATTCCTTATAAATGGTTCATATAGTATTCATATTTATTACATAAATCGACGAAATGGAAATGCGAAAGAAATACAGAAAAATTATACAAATTAGCTCAGAACAATATGTCATGTGAAATGTAACATGAAAACCTGAATGTAACTTTTAGCAAATTTGTAGATGCATCTCAATATATAAAAAACCTAAAATTTACATTATTATATGATATAAATTTAGTGAGTTATTCAATACAATATATTTGCTTAAAAGTAGATTTTTCATCATCATTTCATGCCATGATAATCGTGAAAATATATTTGGATAACTAAGATGCAGAGTCTACATAAGATTTGTGGTTGTATCTAATAAAGTTTGACGTTATAGCAGATTTATTAGTGCAATGAAGACGATTCTCTCTACAACAATCAGTGGAAAATATAGCTTAGTATATGCAACTAATCTGTGATATCAATTTGATACTTTAGTGGATTTTATTATAAATAAATAATCAGTTACCCTAGCAATAAAAATTAGCGGTAGAAAATAATAATGCTCATTGGGATGTCTGGAATATTTACTCTGCAATCATACATACATTCTAATAATATGATAAAATATTATTAATGTAAACATACACGCGCATAAAGATACATATTATTTATATTAATATATTATACTACAAATATATACAAATGTACAGTTTTTAAAGAAAGTGAGAGGTTTAAATTACGTAAGGCATAACATATTTCTCATTACAAATACTTGCATTTAAAGTTAATAAGAGTGTATTTCTCCGTAGAATAAGCAAGAATACTTCTTCATTCAACGCTCAGAGATGTCTTAAAGAAGCATGTGGTTTGTTTGGTAAAATTAATTAATTTGTTTTTCAAACTTCAATTAGCTTGAAGTACGAAATGATTTGTTGCAGTAATTAAGATAATATCAACAGATAAATGGATTTGCTCTATGGGCAGGTTGACAATTACTTTCACACAATTTCTTGATTGTATTAATAAATCTACTTAATTATAACGTTTAATTTAGCGTTTTTTACAACGATCCATTTTTAAACGTTTAATTTTTAACACAGCGAACTATAGATTTGACGAATCCACCGTAAAAAACCACCTTTTTTTCGTGATGGAAAACGTTTACGCCGTCTCCCTGCACGCAAATTAATCGTGCATACCGGGCATGAATATTTATTTCCTGAATTACGACGGAAAAGAGAAAAAGAGTTCGCGAATCATTGTTTACGGCGACGTTTCATTTTGATTGTGCACCCACGGTTATGTTTAATTACCTCCGACCGATGTAATAACTGAATGAAGTGTACGTCGAAATATCACACGCGTATTCCATTACAGTTTTATTTTCCGACACCCGTGCACTCAGCGCGCAGATGGGGGCGGGAGGAGGGGAGGACGGGGGACGCTAAATAATTCCGGTGCCGTTAGTTTTGCGATTTTGTTCCTCTGTGACATTTCAATTTCTGATAGCGGCCCGCTTTTTCGAGTCTCGCGGGCGCGCGAAAAGATGGAAAATCGTTTGGTATCGCCGTCGTGAGGCAGCTTCTCGCGCTCTCCGCGCTGTATCCTCATCTCTCTTTGTCCTCCCCTCGCCCTTATGGCCGCTCTTCTTCCTTTCTCTTGGTCTTACCTGCCGCGCAAGCCGGCGACCACACCAGACACCCATATATATGCATTTAAACATATATATATATATATATATATATATATATATATATATATATATATAAACGAATTCCAGACATAAATTCGCCGACTTCCGCTCCGCATTCAGTAGCAGCGTGCGAGCACAACGCGTCGCGGCGTATCGATATTATTCGACGATACTTCCGGCAATTCTCGAAGGCCCCTTCCGCGTCACGCTGTATGATAAAGTCATCGAGATGTCGCGCGATAAATACCGCCGGCCTTCCTGCTGCCAGGCTCTCCCTTCGCTCTCTTATCGCCGCTTAGAATTTCAAGGCACTGCCTTTGCCGCCCACGTGATTCGATTCCTCGAGAAACATCCGCGGTATGCGTACGCCGACGAGCTGTGCGCGTCCAACGACATGAGAGAACGCCAGGGGATCCGCGATTCGCTCAATTTAACCCGTTTGAAGGCGGTATCTATGTTATCAACGATGCACTTAACGGCGAATTTATTTCTCTTATCTCGCGCTATCCCTTCGGCGATCTTCGTTTCTTTGATCGATCGTCGAGGTCGGTAATCAGTTATTAGTTATCGCTCATCAGATCCTTCGTATCAGATTGTAGCCTCGATCTGCCTCTGTTGAAGTTAAAGGCAGTTTGAATAATACTCTATCTAGGACTACAAGATACAAGAGAGAGAGAGAGAGGGAGGGAGAGAGGGAGGGAGGGGGAGAGAAAGAGAGAGAGAGAGAGGGAAGTGGAGAAGAGAATGTAATGACAAATCGCTAGAATGAGGTCGGGGATCAACGTTGAAGTTTTGGAAGCACCCACGATAATTAATCGACAATAGAGCGCGCCGGATTTCGAGGGCTTCTCTCGGGGTGAGGACCCACCGCGGTGTTCCGTCTTCTTCCGTTATTTATGTTTCGGGATCCAGGGAGACCGAGGACCCGCAGCACCCTCCGTTTCTCCCAGGAAGACGGTAATTTCGACCTCACTGCCGATTAATTAAACGATTACTCGCGTACCTCTCACTATCTACTCGTGCTGCTGCTGTTTTTTCTTTCTTGGTTAATTGATGGGACGAGAGAAGGGGTGTGTTTTCAGGGAGAAATCGGAGAGCTGTTTTGAAAGGGACAAATGCGACTTGTTCGAATCAACGATTTATTTGTTCAAAATATAAAAGAGGACGAAGTGACATACGGTAACGTCGGTATCTCTTGTCGCACTACGCAAGTGTCTGTTTTCCTATAAACTAGCATTTACAAGACTAATGAGAGATCCGATTGGATCGCATAACGAGAGGGGACTGCCTTACGTATGTAGGTAAGAGGATGATTTACAACGAAGAACACGGTTATCTGTGGATTCTCGTATTTCTAGAAACTTTCCCTTATTTATGCATACCGAGTCGCCAAAAAGAGCAGCAGCGCGCTTCGAACGCTTTCGAGCGAGCGGCATGAATTATTCAGACGCCTGCGCTTACCGCAGGTGCGATAATGATAATTGACGACGCGAAGTGACGATAATCGCGCGTGATCCTACACCTAAACGTAATAACAATCATCATCATACGTCCCGCAATAAATGCACGCACGGAACACTGTTCCAATTTTCACTCGAGAACACTGTATACACGCCTGTACGATTCCGCGAGGTTCCTCAGGTTCGCGTCGCACGTTCTTATCAATTGTCAATACCTGAAACAGAAATATTTCAATGAGTTTATGAAACGTTTAAATTAGAAATGCAAAGGAGAAATTGCAAAAAATTAAAAAAACAATATAAAAAAAACCAGGTTTTTCAATCTTATATGTCGCAACATTTTTCAAGAAGAATTATATAGCCGCGCGGAAAAAATTTGGTTGGATTAATAAGTATCTATAAGTAGTGAGATATGAACTAATCAGAATTCCGGTTACCAGCATTCTGTTCAAGTTAACCAGAATCTTAATTTGAGCAGAATTCTGGTTCGTTTAAATCCCGAGTCGAAATTTTGATCCTATTTCCGACCTCAATATTCAATTTAACGCCTATTTTGATATTCTGAAGTCTATGTTGATATCTCTGTTGATTCTATATAACCTACTAATTTCTGCCGAGAGATCCTCTTTAAAACTTACAAGTGGTATCTTGTGCGTTTTCTGTTATTTAGAGGCTAAATTGAATTTTAGTTTCCATGTGTATCACACAAAAACTGATCCTTCAGAACATACAGATGTTAGAAAGCTCAGATTGTCACCATGCTGTTAATTAAGTTAAAGGAGAGATTAATTTATTCTATTAAGAGAATTAATTATCTCCATTATTCAATACTTTTAAGAAAAAATAAACGTAGCAATTTTTTACAAATGCACTAAGAAAAAAATATTTGGAAATTAAATATTTTTTAGGTGGGTACCATTAATATATTTACTTAAATCAAAATTCTCTTCATTTAAATCGAGTATTGTTTATTTAAACCGATATATAAATAATACTCGGTTTAAGTGCAAAGAATTTTGAAAATTTAAGTACATATATTAATGGTACTTACCTAAGAAATATTTGTTAAGTATTTTTAGGTATTTTTTCTCAATGTTAAAGCTGTTCGAAAGAGCAACTCAGAAACTGAAATTGGGTTTAACGAAATCTAATGGAACATATCAATTTAATCAGTCAGTGCTGTCGCGTTAGGTAGCAAAGAAAAAACGTGGAGGACATTCGGGTAGACAGATATATATATAATTTTAGTAGCATATTTATATATAAATTCGTAAAGGTTACGTGATCCTGATAAATGGTTCATATGCCATTCATATTTATCACATAGAATAATGAAACAGAAATACGAGAAAATGATAAAAATTTGCTCAAAACAATACAACACATATAAAATATAATATGAAAATTTTAGTGTAACTCTTAGTGAGTGTGTTACTGCAACAATATTACAAGAAGTTTACATTATTGTACAATTTAAATTTAATTATTAATTCAATGCAGTTGACTATTGTTTTCTAAATGTAATTAAAAAAGTTGTAGACTTTTACTATCGATTTAACCATTGATTGTCTCACGTTTTGGTAATCACAAAAGTCCATCTGGTCAAGGTTAACGCGTAGTAGATCCTGAAAACAATTTCAGAGTTTCGTTTAATAATGCACTCTCTATTTTTGTATATATACGTGACTAATGCAACACGCTGCGTCAATTTCGGATTACAGTTGCATCGAGCGCATAGAACGTCGTAACTATTCGGACCGGTGTTCCTCGGCGTGGTTGACGCGAACGCACCACCGGAAGAGCCCAGACGAGAGAGCGAGCGTGCCTGATCTGCATCGCAAGCGCGAGGACCACAGCAACATGCCGTACACACCACTGCAGGTAGGTCGTATCCACGACGTTTCCTCTCCCTGTGACCGCCACTGTGCGACGGCGGTAGCAGTGGCGGTGGCGGTGGCGACGGTGGCGGCGGCGAGCATAACAGGGTGGACGTTTAACATATGAGTGGCTACCAGTGTTATTAATGCGACGGTACGTCGTGCTCGGTTTCTTCCTCGGTGAGCCCACGTACTGGGCCTTAGATCCAGACGGCGTGCGGCGGGACTAGGGGCCACCCGCGGGTCCTACGCTACCGAGGCCGACGACTGTGTGTGCGCGCGCGCGCGCGCGGCAGGGCAGAGAGACAGTGAGAGGAAGGGACCTGGCGCGGGGTGCAGGATGGTAACACGACACTCGGAAACCGCGGCCTGGCACGACCATCGTCGTGCAACGGCCTCGAACCATCCCCGAGGGAGTTATGCCTTCCTGCCGGCGCGCCGCCTAATTAATATGTGCTTAGCCCGGAATGCTGCCTCGCGTCTTTGGAAGCCGTGCACGTCCCTGGGCTTTCCGGGGGGGCGAGCAACGGCAACAGCAACGGCGGGTGGTAGGGTGGAAAATGCGCGTCCTCGATCTAGATGAGATCCCTCAAAAATTTCAAGTCAGCGTGTCCATTTCGACAAAGGCTCGTCTCCGTAATTGCAGGTGATTAGAATTCGAAATAATCTCCTCGCTGACTTGAGAATCATACAACCAAGAGAACTGAAATCCCGTTATTTTACCTTGATAGAATAAAACACTCCATTATTGACATTCCCCTTAATCATCGCGTTCTTGATTTAGATATTTGTATCTCTAAAATTCAAATATTTGCAGGCAATTACATTTTGAAATAATCTCATTTGAGAATCATACAACCAAGATAATTGAAATCTAGTTACTTTATTTGGATAGGGTAAACCACGCAATGATTGACATTTCCTTTAGTCGTTGATACTTTGAAAATAGCTGTTTTTTCTCGAGGTCAACATTGCAATTAAGCTTCTCTCGCTTACATTCTGTAATTCCAAAAAAGATCTTCACATCTGAAACTATGAAACAGAAACATGAATCGTAGTAAAAAACAAGTTTTCCTAGAGTATTAATGATTAAGGAGGACGTCAATAATTGGTTAAATATGTTATCCTATGAAAATGAAATGTAAAGTGTTGGTATTAATTTTCTTAATTATGTGATTCTCAAGTCAGCGAGAATATTAATTCGAATCCTATCACCTACAATTATAGACAGCGCTTGTCAAAATAAGCACGTTGAATTTTAATTTTTGAGATATAGTAGATGCAAAATAATTTAGACATAATGAAATAAGGAGTTTATCAAACTGTCAAAATTACGGGTTGTTGTGACGACCTTGCCTAGTAATTATATTGTAAATTATTGTTATTGTTAATTAGCTTAAACTACTCGGCGTTGTCACAAAATGTCAAGAAGATGAAGTCAGAGGGAGAAGGGAATAGCTCATATTTTCCGTAAGGTTCTAGAGAGTAACTATGTAAAGGGCAAAAGGTACAGGAGTTTATAGAGACATACAGGCAGACATTCTATTATATGTGTATATATATATATATATATATATATATATATATATATATATATATAGTAGATTATAACTAGTATTATTATTATTGATTATTATTTAACGTTCTTAATCATTATTAATTATATTATTATTGCGTAAGTTAACCCATAATAATTTTCAATTTTGACAGTTTAGGGAGCTCCCAACTTTATTATATCTAAGCTGTTTTGCAACCCACTACAGTGAGAGAAAAATTATCTTAAAATGAATAAATATTTCTTTGATGTGGGTGCCATTAACATATTTACTTAAATCTAAATTCTCTTTATTTAAATCAAATATTATTTACCTGATTTAAGTAGACAATATTTGGTTTAAATAAAGAGAATTTATCTTCAAATAAGTATGTTAATGGCACCCATCAAAGAAATATTTGTTGATTTTAAGATAATATTTCTTTCAGTACATACAGCGCCCCTTATCTAGATCGAGGATACGATGAGTGCTTCGCCTTGCTCTTCTTTTTAACATGTAATTGCGCGAAATAAGAGCTACATAATTTCGAAAACAACACGACACGATAACGCACATACGATAGTACGGTATCACCAACTGAGAAAACACGCCGCTCTGTACCCAAGTGTCGTCTCACGGCGACGCGAGCGTGACTCTCACCGGGCGAATACACGCGAGAAAATTCGTCGTGGGTGTGCCCACCTGTTCCACGTGTCCAAGAGAGAGAGAGAGAGAGAGAGAGAGAGAGAGAGAGAGAGAGAAGAGAGAAAAGAAGCCAGGACGCCTTCCCCTGTATCCGCTGCGATCGCTCGCTCGAGGAGAGCAGGCGTATAGGCAAATATCTCTCGCTCGGCCGGGACATTAGGAGTTCTCCGGCGTCCGGAGGATTATAAATCCTTAATACAGATCGGCACGCGATGCCCGGCTCGTTAGGGTGATGCATGGCCGACTCTGGTGTCCCGGGGTGTACGGTAGCCGGTACCAATACGCGCGTACGCCGGCCACGTACGCGCACACACGCGCGGTCCGGTTCCTGCGGGAACAACTACACCCACATGCATCGGCAGACGCCAGGTAATAATGAGAGATCGGAGATACGGCCCGATATTAATTGTGCGCATCGAGTGTGGCGGTGCTACGGCTGCTGCTGTTGCTGCCGCCGCCGCCGCCGCCGCCGCCGCCGCCGCCGCCGCCGCTGCTGCTGCTGTGGTTGTTGCTGTTGCATCCGCGCCGGAGAGGGAACAGGCTGCTACCGGCTTACACCGATCCTTCGACGCGATATGTGCGATATACGATACAGGAACGAGCGTGGTGGACCTGACCCTGACGCCTCTCGGTCCCCTCGATCTCGCCGCGGCGGTCGCAAAGAAAACGCGCGGAAGGATTTCCCGAAGAATTATTATTCCCAGCTATATCGCGCGCAGCGCGTTGATACCGTATCGGTAATGTTAATATCCTACGGTAATTGTGATCTGTTATCGGGAGCCGCGAGATATATTAACGTTGCCGGCACGTACAGGAAATCGCCCCGGTGTCTCTGAAACGTTCTATCAGATGTTGGCAAATGTTCGTTGGATTTTCGGCCGTTTTCCTTTGGTAACAATAACGAAACGTCAAATCGAAATATCTGCTGTCGTTACATTCAGATAATTGTCTGACTTCGCGCCTCTAAGGCCCGTATTAATCGTTATTTGAAACTTCTCCCAAGTGAGATACTCAGGTTTCAGTTCAGAGTTAGATAAAAGTGTTTCAGATGAATCGCGATTACGCAGATATAATGTCGCATATATCATACAATTCAAATGAAAAATTTGAATCTAACTCTGAGTGGAAATCTGAGTATTTCACATAAGACAAGTCTCAAATGACAACTTATAATACAGATCTAAAATGATTCAATGATTTTAAGTCAATGATATCATTGACAATCTGACAATCTTTCGCAAGTCTCGAAAGAAAAAGGGAGAGAAAAACAGAGTTAATTTTTTTTGAGAACCATCAGAATCAATCGATGCACATATCTAGATAAGTAGTTGTACGCAAATTTCATAGCAACTTTATTAGTCCATTTGTGGAGATTGCATTCCTTATGAGTAACTCTCTCTCACATAACATTGATATTTATCACATAAAATAACGAAATATAAGAGTAAAGATCAAAATTTGCTTAGAACATTACGTCATGTAATATGGAAATTTAAATGTAATTTTTAATAAATTCGTTGTTGCATTGATACAACAAAAAATTTATATTAATGCACACAGAGAGAAAAATATCTAAAAAATAAAAAATACTTATCCTATATGTACTAATAAAAAAAATTTATTTATTTATAGAAATACTTTTACATTGAGGAAAAATATCTTTTAAATGGGAAAATATATATTCTCTTAAAATGTTGCTTTCTCGTTACTGAAAGTAATTATTTATCTTATTTAAAAAAAAAATCTTTAGATTTAAATAAATATGTTATCAGTATCAAATAAATATTTTTTATTTTTCAATTCTTTCTTTCAGTTTATAATATAAGAATGTAATGTGACTAATGATAAGGTGTACAGTATATTATTTCCATTATTCTCATATATTTGCTTCATAGTGTAATTGAACGAAGAATTGAGTTCTCAGAAAAATTCTCACCATTGATTGTCTCAGGTCGTGATAATTACGTAGGTCTATCTAGGTTGTTATTGAACTAAGATTCGCCAAAGTGCACGGAGTGAGGATTCCGACTCGTTGCATTCGCGTTCGCGATGCGTCGCGCCAGGATAAAAGCAGAAGAGGTCAGGATACCGAACCATAGGCAGTGGAAGACAAGGGGACATAGTCTCCAATCCGGGTCGTTTCGCCGGTGATTACGAGGAGTGGACAGATTGAGACGGTCCTAGGGCTCCTCCCTTTCGTCCTTCTCCCGACGGTCTCTATGCGGGCTTCTCTCGGGCGTACGATCCACCGTCAGGACATCCTATTCCTCGTGCGCTGGAGAGAATATTTTCCCTCCCTCGTCGGGCCGACTGCGACGAGCCACTTTGAAGATACGATCTCGAAACAAATTACGAGTCCCGCTCAGAGAGCTCGCCCTACTCGGCTGAATTAAAATAATCGCGGGCCGTTAGCGGTCGGCGTGCTTTACCTCTTTCTTCTTGTTTTTTAATCGATCCGCACGAATCGGTCTTGCCCCCGTGGAGTTTTGTCAAAAGACGCCATACGCACAGTCGTTTATTGATGCATTCGCGTCATTAAGGTCGCGCATATAGTCGCAACGGTAACGATATTTCGAATTAATTAATTTCGATGACGCAACGATATACGACGTATCTATTTTTGCGCGAGCTACTCCAGTTGCTTAATTACTTTAGTTCATTTTTCTTGACTATTAATTTTCAAGTCAAGTAAGTTGATGTTTTCGACCTGTTAATTTTTCAGTCAGGTCAGTTAATTTCCTCTGGTCTTATTTCACTTCATATC